AGAAAGTCGCCAGTTCTCACCATCCAGCTCCACAGATACTCCGCGTAGTAAAGTTGTACTACAAAGTCGCCAGTTCTCCTCGTCCAGCTCGCCAGATACTCCGTGCACTAAAGTTGTACTACGAAGTCGCCAGTTCTCAGCTTCTAGCTGCACAGATTGCTCCGCGTACTGAAGTTGTACTACAAAGTCGCCAGTTCTCATCGTCCAGCTTGCCAGATACTCCGCGTACTAAAGTTGTACTACAAAGTCGCCAGTTCTCAGCTTCCAGCTCTACAGATTGCTCCGCGTACTAAAGTTGTACTAGAAAGTCGCCAGTTCTCAGCTTCCAGCTCTACAGATTGCTCCGCGTACTAAAGTTGTACTACACAGTCGCCAGTTCTCAGCTTCCAGCTCTACAGATTGCTCGGCGTACTAAAGTTGTACTAGAAAGTCGCCAGTTCTCAGCTTCCAGCTCTACAGATTGCTCCGCGTACTAAAGTTGTACTAGAAAGTCGCCAGTTCTTTGCTTCCAGCTTCACAGATACTCCGCGTACTAAAGTTGTACTAGAAAGTCGCCAGTTCTCATCGTCCAGCTCGCCAGATACTCCCCGTACTAAAGTTGTACTACAAAGTCGCCAGTTCTCATCGTCCAGCTCGCCAGATACTCCGCGTACTAAAGTTGTACTACAAAGTCGCCAGTTCTCTGCTTCCAGCTCTACAGATTGCTCCACGTACTACAGTTGTACTAGAAAGTCGCCAGTTCTCAGCTTCCGACTCTACAGATTGCTCCGCGTACTAAAGTTGTACTAGAAAGTCGCCAGTTCTCAGCTTCCAGCTCCACAGATACTCCGCGTACTAAAGTTGTACGACAAAGTCGCCAGTTCTCAGCTTCCGACTCTACAGATTGCTCCGCGTACTAAAGTTGTACTAGAAAGTCGCCAGTTCTCAGCTTCCAGCTCCACAGATACTCCGCATACTAAAGTTGTACTACAAAGTCACCAGTTCTCATCGTCCAGCTCGCCAGATACTCCGCGTACTAAAGTTGTACTACAAAGTCGCCAGTTCTCAGCTTCCAGCTCTACAGATTGCTCCGCGTACTAAAGTTGTACTAGAAAGTTGCCAGTTCTCAGCTTCCAGCTCACAAATTGCTCCGCGTACTAAAGTTGTACTACAATGTCGCCAGTTCTCAGCTTCCAGCTCACAAATTGCTCCACGTACTAAAGTTGTACTACAAAGTCGCCAGTTCTCAGCTTCCAGCTCCGCAGATACTCCGCGTACTAAAAGTTGTACTACAAAGTCGCCAGTTCTCGTCGTCCAGCTCGCCAGATACTCCGCGTACTAAAGTTGTACTACAAAGTCGCCACTTCTCAGCTTCCAGCTCCACAGATACTCCGCGTACTAAAGTTGTACTACAAAGTCGCCAGTTCTCAGCTTCCAGCTCGCCACATACTCCGCGTACTAAAGTTGTACTACAAAGTCGCCAGTTCTCAGCTTCCAGCTCCCCGGATGCTGTGCCTGCCACGAAATCTGCACATGGAGGTTCACAAAGTGCTGCACCTG